TTTGTCAGTTTTAGTGTCTTTAGGCACTAGAAACAGTCAAACAATGGGTGAAATAATAGAGAGCGAAAACGAACCGAACTGAACTTGAACCAGCAAAAATTAGTTCGATTTGGTCTCGGTGAAGCATCCTTAGCTAAAATAAGAAAAACTTGAACGATAGACAAGCGATATAAAGGCTCAAAACTTGTCTCTTTCTATGAATCGAATTCTAGCTCTTAAAATGAATCGAAAGTGATTGATACCTGATTAATTGTCTACTTATGATTTTGCACAGAGATGAAGAAGTCATGAGTCAAATCGATTTGAATCAAATTTCAGGCCATTTTTTCTCAAAGATTCGATGTTTTGTTTACTTATGTTAGAAAGATAAATTCGTGTGCTGATTTTTGGATGAAATTTCAATTTTATTGTTTTAAAAAGTTTACATAACAGAGACGACAGATTGAGACGATACAATGCATTTTATAGATAAGATTGGCGTGTTCACATATTCATGTTTTCGCTAATTGCCATCGCCTTATAACAAAGACTAATATGATTTAACGTCTTGCATTGATAAGTCAGATAGAAATGGGTCTGCGAAGATATCTTTTCTGGTACCACTATTATATCGTTTTCAATACCAACCATCAGTTTTGGGAAACATTTTGACCCTTTCAAGCTATTGCGATGTTCAACATCATGATATTCACTATCAACAACATTGGATGCACAAGTTGCTGGAGCATCTCCTTTGAAATCAGAAGATTTATCAAGAATAATATTGTAAAGCAGTTAATAGAGAGGTAAAGTTAAGGAAAAAAAGAAACAACATAACTTGAATATTAAACTTTCTATTGACGTTGGTGTCGTCTACTCGTTGATTGATTCACTCTCATTTCGAAGTACTTTATTAATTCAATGCATATTTATCTGTGTAAAATGTTATAACTACAAGGTGGTGTTGACGAAAGAAAAGATTGAGTTTTATAATTTAAAAATCATTGAGTGATGCTAGCAGTCGGAAGGCGTTCCCGGCGACAATTATTTTATGCACCGTCCTTATCCACTGAGCCATTAAGAGGGCGTCCATGAGACCATCGAGGAATTTTTAAAGGGTCCATACTCCCGAAAATTTTGGCCACCTCATTTTATTTGTGGAATCGATAGCCCATGAGGTGAAACTACTCTACCCAAAATATTTGCTCGATTGATTATATAACAAAAAAGTTATGCAGACCACACTGATGACTACACACTGATTAAGTCAAAATTGATACGACGTAGTTATCAAGCAAAAATCAGTATTTTTGAGAAATTATCTCTCAAGATTAGTTGATCCCAGAAATTTGGATCGTACATCGGATGGGCAAATAAAAAAGCTACAAAACCAGCCTAAAACAAAAAGTTTTTAATCCGTAAAAAAAAAATTTTTTTTTGGGAGTATGGGGTTTCTCGATCCTGTGGTGGACTCTCTCTTAAGTCGAAAGAAAATCAGTAGTGAAACAAGAAAATAAGTAATTACATTATCGTCTGATGAAAATATCTGCAATGGAAATGTCAACACCTTCACTAACTCTCAAAATACTATGCTGTTTGTAAAGAAACATATAACCGAAATGACTGTCTCGGAAGTCATTCATATAAAGTCGAAGTTGAAAACAAAGGGTTTCGATGAAAAGAATATCGTCATCTATATCCTATCCAGACCTACACTCTTGTTTTATAATAATAATAATGAATAGAATTGTCGTTCGAAGAGAAAAATCAACATGTGTCAAGATCTTTCCATAACATTGTTGTTCACAGTATAGTCTTACTAGGGTCAGGACATATTTTATTTATGTAAGAATAGTTGATTCTAATAATAATGTGTTTCTCTTTTACTCGATTGGTTAAATAAGCAAATTAATTATGATATTAGATATATCGGTCGTAATTCTAATCTATTGTCTCGAAAAATATAATTTTTGAATATTTATCATAGTTTAGTCTGTAATTTTTTCGGTATGTTTTCTCATTCAGTAGACTCTTAAAATGTTGCTATATTCTGGTTTTGATTATCAAGTAGCAAACAGACATTGTCGGATCTTTCTTAATTTGACTTTTTTCTTCAATATAAATTAATAGAATTAATCTAACGAGTCATAACCTATCAACAATTTGTTTAACTCTGAAAATAAAATATGTTTTGAGAATTAACATGAACATAATACATAATTAGCAATGATCACGTTGTATCGAAAGAATAGATTTGTTTTTATTCTAGATTCAAATATGGTTGTTTTACAACTGAAATTATCAGCAGTTTCAGAATGCCTTCCAAGCAGAATTCTGTGGACTTATGTGTTTTTTTTTAAACGAGTTGACTATTACACACTAGAATTCTGCTTTTATCTTCTTATTCCTCAATAGAATTCTATGTTCCACAAGACAAACTTTACACGAGCTAGCGATCAAAGGATAGTACCATTCTTTTCTGGTGTGTTTATATTTTGCCTAGAATTCTGTATATTTCTGTATTATCAAAGACAACCTATTCCATTCTTGTCTGTTTAAATTCTACTTAGAACTCTGTAGAATTCAGTAGAATTTTGTGTCATAGAACACAACGTACTCCATTCTGATCTGTTTCAATTCTGCTTAGAATTCTGTAGAATACTGTAGAATTCTATGTTATCAGAGATAACGTATATATGTGTTGATGTTCATTAGATTTTAAATTTCTGTTCTGGTGTGTTTGAATTCTTCATTAGAATCTTTCTTTCCTGTTGGCCATATACATCTGTAGTATGCATATTCGAAGCTTATCTTCTCTTACTCCTACCAGCATTCTGTTTAAGTTTCTGTTCATTTTTTTAAACTCATCAATAAGATTTTCTTTTCTTCTTAAAGATATACACTTCTAGTATGCATACTCAAAGTTTGTCTTCTGTTACTCGTAACTGAATTCTATTTAAATTCTGCTGATATTTTTGAATTCTTCACTAGAATTGGAGAGTAGCCAGAAGTATGTGTTGATCTCGGCTGATCTTGTTTATCTTCTGCTATTAGGAATAGAATTCTGTCAAAATACTGGTGTAATTTTTGAATTCTTAGCAGAAGTCAGTTGTTTTACGGGTTCATAGGTTAGTGTGGCGCTTAGTAGTTTATTCACTAATGAGAATTTATCTTAGTGAGCTAATCCACTGTTTACCGATCAAATTTTTAAATTCTGAATTCTACTGGGCGAGAATTCTGCAGCCCCTCGATAAAAGACATCTCTCGACGATTTAATTGATATTACCGTCAACATGAGTAATTATAATCTCACATTAGACTCCATTTCGGCTTGTCTTCTCATAAACGTATGAGCAAAAGTTTTCAAAATATAAAGGAAGAAAAGAAAAAATGTGGGTTGAAAAATTATCAGGTTCATTATTCTGTTATGTAAAAACGATAAAGAGAACATGGTGCTCTACTTCCTTTTAATAAACAAGTTAATGACGCAGTTAAAAGGATGAGCTTCTTTGAGATACATGATAAAATAACTAATAATAAACATAAGAGATTTTCTTTATGAAGACGGAAAAAACTAACGTGCTTTTCTTTGATGCTTATGACTTTACTATCTATTCTTGTAAAAATGCTATCAAGTTTATATAGACTCTTTCTATTTATATTATCATAATTATTTTTTCCTGAATAATATAAATTAAATCATAGAGTTTACACAGTAACAGACAAATTCATGATGACTTTACCGACAGATACAAATGTACAATCATGTGCAATATATGCTAATAAAAAATCAACGACATATTCACATGAATGTAAAATATGTGGAGCTTCGGCTCGTTACTTTTATTTTGGTGTTCTGTCATGTGATTCATGTAAAATGTTTTTCAGACGAAATGCTAAACTTGGACAAGTCAGTTTTATTTCTTGTTTTCATCAAATAATTCTATTTTATTCATTCTATAAGGAAGCATTTCAATGTCGTTTTGGTGGTCAATGTCAAGTCAATATTTATAATCGCCATGTATGTTCTTCATGTCGGTTAGCTAAATGTTTTAAAAGTGGAATGAAAATTGAAATGTTTCGTTTGTCAAAATTAACAAGAAAAAATAAAATAAATCAAACAAACGAAACAAAAACTAAACAAATATCACAATATGTAATCAATGTTATCAGACAAAATCAAATACAGAAGGTAAAAATTTTGCAATTTTAAATTGTTCGATCGAATTTTTCTTAGTGCACCATTATCCCTTTCATTTCTTTTATTTTTTTTTCATTTTATTTCTGAAAAATACTTTTATATAATTATATTTCAAACTTATTATTGATTATTTTAACGAGAGACGTCAACCAACAAGTCAAAATAAGATTCACATTTTATTTTTATTCTACTTTGAAATGCAAGGCTAAACTAAAAATTTCAGTTTAAATGAAAAATATAATATGAGGTTAGTTTTAGCAAACAGTATTATTAGAGAATCTGTTTATTCGATCCTTTTCTACATTCTCACGATTACAACTATTAGATATAAAAGAGACACCAATAGCAATAGTGATGTAAGTGACATGTCTTTAATAAATATCAGTCAAGCGCTCATAAAAGATTGACATTTTTTGCAATTTAAATCTCCTTCACTTTCACTTACTTTTGAATGAAATCATAATGAGGATATACTTATATGTTATAACATGATTAATGCATGATGTTCAAGTAGAAATAGTTATCTATCAGGGATGCCTTGACATGATCTCAGAGTACAGCCAAATTGCTTTGTCCTATTAACCTTTTCTGTTGTACTAAAAACTCTTTTGGTGTCGGTTACTAAATGTAAACATACTTGTTTGAGATTTCGCTTGGTTACTAACTGATTTTTATAGTCGAGTTCAGTTTATATTGTTCTACCATAGTGTATTTAACCTTTTTTAAAATAAAGTTAGTAAACATCATATTATGCCGTAGAATAAAGATAAAATGCCAATCCTAATGAAAATATTTACTCAAATCGTTTAACAGTAATTAGCAATTTTGTGAAAATTACCAATTTAATTAGAGAAGAATTTATAATATTATACTATGTGTGAGAGGACATATAAAAAGACTTCTTCTGCATGTGGAAAATATGTAAATACTTTTTTCCACAATATTAAGATGTGTTTTAAGAGAACATTGCCTTTTTAAGCGTGTTCACTAATATTTTATGATAAAAGTAGCTGATCTTAGTGCTTTTTGAATGAATGGGAAAATATTCAAATGTACACTATGATTAGAACGTTTGAATATCTTTTCATAAATTATTGTTTGCTTGAATATTTTATTTACAATCTAACATTTTCTATTTGAATAAATCATTAAGATATATATAAGTATATGATTAGTTTCGATTGAGATGCTCATCTAAAACTGGTTCGCCCTGCATTTGAAATTTAATCATGGAAATTTTCATCAAAACAAAAAAATACAATTATTTTTAATTTCTGGTTTCTTTTTATATGCTATAGATTTAAACATATCTGGAATAGCATTTTATTTTGTACTATGAAATCAAACAAGAAAATATTGAAGTTTATACTAATTACATGAAAATCTCCTATGAAGTAGATAAAAAAAAAGTAAAATTATCTCCTGAAAAAGTCATTTGACAAGAATTGTTGAGGTTATATAAGCTTTGTGTTTTTAATTAAATATATTAAATTCGATCAGATCTATAAAAATAATTCAACTGCAATTCCTTGTTTTTTTTTTCTAAAGATATGTTATTATCATGATTTTGAGCTTCTAGAATTAATTTATTAAATAAAGCTAATTAAGACAAGATAAGACCTTGAGTAATGACAAGTATTTAATGTTATCTCTTGAATATATTTGAAAAGTTTATATTTTATTTTGTGCCGATGATATTTGCATCAATTTCTAATGAAATGTTAATTATTTTTAATAAATAATCTCCAAAAATAAAAAAAAAAATTGATAAGATTGTATCATAATTATCTTGAGTTGACGTTCATCTATTTTTTAATTTAATCAATGAAGAAATTCTGTTGATTTTCTTAATGAATATCTTTTTCATTTTTTCGAGAATCTCTATTCAATCTCGAAAAATATCAAGGTTCAATAGCAAGATACTAATTAGAACACTTCTTTAACCTCAGAGATTTCTTCAATGAAAATAGTTTAGCATCTCGTCGTCGCATCGATTGATAGAACATTTGTTAGTCTATATAATCATCATCGTCAAATAAAACATCCATAGTTTTTCCTGACGAAATAAAACTCGCCTACAGCATCGGTTAGATACTGAACGAAAAATCAACAGAATTTTTTCATGGATTATATAATATAATACAAACGATATCAACTCGGAACAGTTAATGAAAAATGATCCTACTACATTGTGTCGTAGATCTTCATGAGATGAATATATTTAGAGATTCAATTTTCAAATAAGACTCTTCTCTATTACAAATTCGAGACGTTCTTTCGAACGATCTCTGCTTTCATGAATTAAGAGTATTAGACGAATTCTAACTTCAGATTCAAAACTTCCATCATAAATTCTCTAAGAGAAAATACATATGTGTAACATTTTACAACCTTGTTCTCGTCAGTGAAAGCTTGCACTATTGTGAAAGTTTCAGGGAAAAACATTTCTTTCTACATAGTCACTTGAATCAAAACACTTGAAAATTTTTCATAGAATGCTAAATATAATGTGGGAAACAAGCTTATTTTTTCAGTTTTATAGCAGTTTTAGGCGAAACATTAATCGATTTTCTGAGTGGAAAGATGTAATCTTAAAGTAAAAGAACTTCACCGTTACTCTAAAAGCTTATCGTCTATAGTAAGAAGGGCTAAATGCTATCAGCAATGAAAGTCAAGCTAATTATGAAACCTCTCTGGTTCTGTATTGTTGGGTTTATGTTTCAGTTCTTTGACTGTCTTCTTTACTAAGATATGAATACGCAAGAGTTTGCTATATGAAACAGCAATGTTTCTTCTTGGATTCATATCTCAGTAAAAGAAATAATTAAAGAACTAAAGCCTTTACAATATACTAGTCTCATCCGGAACGTTCTCTTTTTACTAAAATAAACAGTCTCAGATCAAAAGTACTTTGATATTTGGAGAGCTTTCTTAATAAGCTTAAATTTCCGTACTGACAGAATTTAGCCTTTCTTAAGATAGACAATATGCTTTTATAGTAACGATGATATTCTTTTACTTTAAAATTACATATTTCCATTCTAAAAATGGATTGATATCTCGCCTCAAATTGCACTGAAACTAAAAATAAAAAGTTTTTCTTGTTTTCTTATATTTCACACTCGATGAGAACTTTTCAAACGTTTTGGTTGAAGTGATTAATCGAGAAAAATTTTGTTCTTGAAACTTTGACGTTAATACAAGCCTTCATTAAATAGAACAAGGCTGTACAATGTTATACATATGTATTTTCTCTTAGAGAATTTATAATGGAAGTTCTGAATCTGAAATTAGAAATAGTCTACTACTTTTAATTCATGAGAGCAGAGATCGTTCGAAAGAACATTTTGAATTTTTAATAGAGAAGAGCCTTATTTGTAAAATAAATAACTAAAAGTATTCACCTCGGAAAGATCTACAACGCGATGTGATTAGAATATGATTTGTTAGGGTGGCAGATTTAGGGCCAAATCCGACGAGATCTTATTTACACTTTTTCTTTTATTTTAGTTGCCAACATTAAATCTTTTGCAATCAGATACATCTTTAATGACGAATAGTCAATGGACTCTTCTCTCAAATGTAATTCATAGTTTTGATGAAAGAAAAATTATGTTTATTTCTCAATGTATAATTAAACAAGACAAAACTTGTCAATCTATGATATTACTTGATGAAACATTAATTAACGAATTCTTTTCATTACTTTTCGAAACAACAAACTTGTGTCTTTGTTCAAATGGGGATCTTAGCAGTTTATCATCAGATGATCGTTCACTAATACTTCTTAATAGCACTGATTCTGTATTATGTTTAGGTGGAATATTTATTTTGTATCAATCTCAATTAATTAATTGTCCATCTTTTTTAAATATTCTTCATACAAAATATGGAGAACAATGTCTTTCTCATACGATTCATGGAACAAAATTAATAGATTCTGATATTGTTCTGACTAAAATAGCACTTGCATTACTCCTTTTCTCGACAAATATTTGTCTATTTTCTTCAAATTCACAAGAAGATCATGTTGATACACATGCAATCTTTCTTATTCAAAATACATATGCCGAAATAACATGGAAATATCTTCTATATAGATATGGTCATGATGGGGCTGTTTTGAAATTTATTAATTTAATTGAATGTCTTCTTCTTGTTATGCAAACACTGTTCCATCTTCAAAATGTTCAACAACATGTTAATGATGTTCTTGCACTTATTGAAAATACTGAATTGAAACTTCTTGTAGATGATATCGATCAGATTGATCAAAAACCAATGAATTAATTCAATTTTATCAAATTTGCACCAATAAAAAACTGTTTTCTATAATTTATTCTTGTGATGTTGTGCCAATCAGTGTCGTTTTATGTCTGTTTTATTTTGTTGTATTTTCTGTTGTTGACTGCGTGCAAATTGGTCATCATGTTTACTTTGAATATCTATATTAAAAGGAATCGCAAGATACATGAAGAAAAAGTTTTTAAAACTGAACTCATGTAAACAAATACATTTCAATCATCTTATATGTGATCTCGTCGATATTTTCAATCAATTAATATAAGTTAAACTAAACCAGAAAATAAAACAGTATCGATAAGATATCATATTGACTTTGTATTGATTGTGCATTTTGAATGTGCGTTTAACCAAAGAAAACTAACGATCGAATACAATTTATAAGAGAGTTGAACCGGTTTTATTATTCGAAGAACTTCTTTTCATCGTTTTCTGTAATCAAATACAATGTGTTGTAAACGCCAAAAATTGCCTATTTATTTGAGAAAACAACGAGTTTTTCTGTGATTGACAGCGTAAATGTTTGACTGAAATTTATGATAATTTTGTTTTCATAACTATGGTTGTGCAAAAGAGAACACGCATGAACGCATAAAAATCAGATCAATTACCAACATACAAGAGAAAACTTTCTATTTGACAGTACGTTGCTAAACTATTAGAAACATTGAAGAAAAACATAAAGCCCCCCACGATGATGCATATCTTTTACCTTTGGATAGTCCAACTTGATTTAGTCGCATATGCAAAATATACGGCTTTTATTTTGTACCCTAAGAAAAATAGAAAAGATGCATCTTTTCAATTTAAAGGTTTATAGACCATTCCACATAGGACACGACCGTCAACACAGAGAAGTTGATTTATTGAGGTTGTTAGATTTTACTCAATTCACGAAATGTTATAGAAAGAAGAATTATGTGAATTTTCGAGCAAGCAGTTTTGAAAAACATCTACTCCTCCATTTATTATGGATATTGTGCGAAAAATCCCTAAAATGAGAATTTCGACCAACGAGCCTTTTGACAGGATCATATCTCAAGAACGGCTTGGCCGGTTTAACTGAAACTTTTTGTGAGCCTACCTCTATCAGTTCTACTCGGAATAAAATTTTCAATTCAAAACATCAAGTTCTTCACTCCGTGTGATCTATCTAATTTGAGCAAAAAACCCAAATTGTAAGAAATATTTGTGTTTCATCAATCATGGTGTAATAAGATATACGTCTGAAATGTTTACTGAAGCTAGAGTTTATAGAGTTGTATCTTCGCTAAAAATTGCAATTAGAGTGTGGGTGTTTTATAAATACTGTATCCACACCCACACTCACACCCCACCCTCTATGTATATTTTATATTATTATTAAATAAATGTCATAAGATGTATTTTAGCTATGATTTCTAAAGTTACAATAAAACATTATTCATTTTGATTTTTATAAATTGAACAGTTTTAGTTATATGAACTCAATTCGACATTTTAAATTTTATTTTATTCAATAAAATGTATTCTATATTGAAGCATACTAAAGCAAAAAAGAAGACATTGGTTAAAAGAAATTTGTTTATTTTTAGTACTCAATTGAATAAGAATGAAACTTTTCGACTATTTTTCATTATTTGAGGTATAGAATAAATAAATTTTCTACTTATGAGAGAATTTTGTTAAATGGTAAATCAATTTTTTCCAGTAATCTAACATCATTAAATAGATCCTATTAAAATTGATAAAGTCTAAAAGGATTCATTTTTATGAAGTGTTTCTTATTTTTTTCCAATATGTAGAAATAAATTAATGTCGTATTATATCTAAGCTATTAGAGTTTAATGATTGACTCTATTTTAGATTGTATAAACTTGAATGAAATTGTCAGAAATAAAATTATGAAATAAAATATAATCAGTTATTGAGTTCATATGTAAAGAGTTGATGCAAGTTGTCTAATTTGATTTGTGAGATCTTGTTTAATTCCTATTATTTTTCATTCATATCTACTTTACAAGAATAAAAATTCAAACAATATACTAACATAAAATCGATCATATGTACGAAACTCGAAAATATAGTCAACATATTTATTTTGCATTATTCTCATTCAATTATTTATTCCCATCAATTGAACATAAGCTGAATTAACAATATTAATACGTTAATTATTTCGAATATTTTATTGTATAAAAAATTTTAAAATGATTCTATTCAATTTTTCCGCAATAATAGTGTATATTGAGTAGAATTTCAATCACATTCTTATCAACAAGAGTATATTCTTAAATATTAGTCACCGATCAAGCTCATATGTTGTTCATTTGAAGGAATCGAAGAGGTTAGAAGAATCCTAAAAAGAGTCGTCTTCATACAGAATCGTTATAGAGTTGCGACTATTGTGAAGGTGGTCAAGCACTAACCAGTTGTAAGTTAGAGAGAACTTTTACGAAAAGAATTTGCTGGAAGATATTGGAAAGTCAAGAACTTACCAGAGAACACCCGAGCTAGACATAATGAGAAATATCACAAATTAGATGAGCCGTTTCATCGTGCTAAATTTCGTCGCACAGATTTGCTCAATTTCCTTATTCCCTGTTGCAATCAAGTTGCTTGTCCTGACAAATTTACTCGTGTAGAGCTCGGATATTGAATTCAAATTTCAAATTTTCAGATATTAGACCTTCACAAAAATATAATCATACGTAGCGAATTTGAATTTGAGGTAGGATATCGCTTTTTTGAATTATCATTATTACCAGGGTTGCCAGATCGAAAACTCAAAAATCAGAATTTTTTTTTTCAAAATCAGAAATTAATCAGAAAAGTCAGTTTTTGAAAAACCTAGTGGTTATTATGGTATCATGTTGGTACAAGACACTCCATTGAATCGCTGTTCATTAATTCATACTTTATTTTCAAAGATATTTCGCTATAAAAAAGCATAATACAATGAATATACTGTTTAGCTAACTAGGAAAAGCTAATGAAGACACGTAGTGCCGAACTCTTTCGCTAAATTCAAAATTTGTTCACAAAAAAAGCACAAAAACAAATCACATATATACGATAGAAGTTATAAGATTCTATAAAAGAAAAAACTGATGATCATGTAACATAGATTCGGTATTATTATTCATATTTTCCATTTTTTCGAATTTGCTTTAACAAATGTGTTTGAGTTAAAAGATATTTATAAAATTGTTCACACGAATAATTATGATAAGATTTAATTTCGCTAAAAAAGCTGTGATATGATTTAGAAAAGTTCAAAATTCAGGAGAAAAGCAGGGAAAATTATCAAAAACAGGAAAAATCAGACGAGAGTGCTAAAATCAGAAAAAATCAGACTGTCAGAAGGAAATCAGAAAGGCATCCAAATTTCAGACACTGTCCTGACTTTTCAGACAATCTGGCAACCCTGATTATTACTATCAACTTTTGATCATTTTTTAAATATTTTTCGTAAAATTTGACCAAACTGATCTTGCAGATGGGCAATCCGAATTTGAAGTCAGCTATGAATTTCTCTAATATACTGCATGAAGTTTGGTGCTCAATGAATGCAGTATCAAATATTATACGAATCTTAAAGATTCAACTACAATTCATACTGAAAATATTCCAAAACTCAAAAAATACGATCTCAGATTCCTAGTCCTTTCCTATGATTACATTTCGATCAGGTTTTATAAAATGTATTAATAATCATAATGCGTAATAAAAATATAACAAAATCAAAAAGGCTCGCTCAAATTTGAATTCAACCAGCATGATTACAATTTAGTGAAGTTTTAAAGTTTTAAATTTGAGCTTGATCTTCACTTTCTACACATTTGTTATGATATGGACATGTTGATGGTCGATAATGAACTCCGTCAAAATGAGCTCATTCATAGATAGATCGAGAAAATCAAGCTCAAGTTTATAGGAGGAGGGTATTTAATCCTATTTCTTTTCATTTTTTTTCCATGCGAAAAAAATCAATAAGCAAGCATCTTTCCGACACTGGTACCTTAGAATGAAAATCCAATTGTTTTTTCGGCTATGATATTTGTAGGAAACTTCTCATAAATAAAATCAGAAGAATGATCAAGACAGCACCAATGATGAATAGACTACCTATATTTATGTTTCATGGTTTGATTTTGTGACAAGTATAGATATTCAATTTATTATAGAATAGTTCTTCTAGATTGCACAGATTGAATTAGCAGAAGAAAAAATCATTTTATGTGAATAGTCAGTCGAACAGTTAAATGATGGTACACATTGCTGATTCTCTATTTATTTGAGAATTTTCATGGTTCTTAACTGAATCTGGTTTATTGATAAATGATCTGGTGTTATTGATTACTGATTCATTCATTGTTTTTCCTGTTGATGAGCTCAGTAAACTTGACATATTAGCAAATGGAGCGAATGGGCATAATTCCGTAAATTGAGCAAACAACTGATTGATATCAAAGAAGGCTTGTAAATCTTGGATTTTCAGATCAGATGTCACTGTAGCTTTACACATTCCATATAAATTCACCATTTTATTCGTCGGAACCGCTTTGTAGACATAACCTGAAAAAGTTGGACATGAAAAGTAGCCAGTCATCCGACCAAAATGACGCCATTTAAAAGTAACATGTGGTGGACCTGAATACAGTTCAATTAACTCCCAGGCGAAACCTTCTCCAAAAGCTCGTAGAAATGCCATTTGAGATTCTGCAAGTGTCATCATCGAAGCATTATAGTATGCAGTTTTACCAATGAGTGTGTTGTAAGTACCCATCTTAACTAAATCATCGGCTGTATATTTGCATTGACCGTTACATGAGAAACGATAGTTGTCCACGTCGACTGTTTCCCATTGTCGAGGATCCAATTTATGACTAACTTCTAAAATAATTTCAAGCTGTCATTGGAAAGAAAATGAGTAAAACTAACAACTTTAATTATCCCATCTTTCTAACATGTAAACCTTCAACTTTTCTTTAATTCAAAGAAAACTG